GTCTTTTTTATGGTTGGTTATACATAAGATCTTCATTGTGGTAATTGTACATATATAAATTGTTTTGAGGGAATCTACTGGGGTTGCTATTGTTATTAACTATTTTGAGGTTTAAGAGTGTAAAAGATTTGAATTTCAGCAGGTTATTCACTAGGGTTCATCTCCAATTTGCTGTGCAGTGTGAGTACTTCTTAGATTTGTTTACTCTACTTTAGTGTTCATTGTTGGATAACTTTCTTTTAATATTGATGTGTGCTTGTCTTATGATTTTGTTTCTTGAAATCATGAGTTCCTAAAAGCTAATTTGGTGTTCATTGTTGGATTAGTTTATTTTCACTAATTTCTTAGATTTTTTTTACTAAATTGTTATGAGTACAACATGTATGGATGTCTTATGTAAGAATTGTGTGCTAATTTTGAAGCATTTAAAAGCTAAATATGCAATAAAAGGATTTGTACTTGCTGATTTTTTTTTGAAATCTGCACTACTCATGCTGATTTTTTGTCCTTTAGAGTGCTTCTGGATCTTTTGATAATTCCTGTATCATATGGGATGCAAACAAAGGTGAGTTAGAAGCATGAATTTCGTTTTGTTCCATGAAGCAAAGAATAACATTGAATTAACCCTAGTTCTGATTTTCCAGGTTGTGTTCATCAGATTCTTGACGGGCATTTCCACTATGTTGAACGAGTTACATAGGACTCATTATCCAAGTATGTTGCTTCACTCAGCTCAGATAGATCATGTCGCATTTACATAAACAAGCCATCGAGAACCAAAGGAGTCGAGAAGATGAATTTTGTTTGTCACCATGCTGTGGCCAAGATAGACGCGGGGACAGTAGACGAATCTAAGGTGAGGCATTCATTTGGCGCTGCTATCTATTTGATGATAGATACTCTATTGTAATGAGCTTCTGTATTTAATGAACTGCAGGCTGTTAGAAGTAATCTTTTTTTTGATGAGACACTGCCATCATTCTTCCCAAGATTGTCTTGGTCACTTGATAGATCATTTTTAGTTCATTATATAGTTTAAAGTTATGCCACCGAGCATGAGTGTAAGGTAAATTTGGTGCAAAATTTGTAATTACGTTATCATGTGCTTATATATATATTTTTGCATAGAGTTCAACGGCTAATCAATCTGAAATCGATGACATTACAGTTGATGGTAAGTCATGATGAGGATCGATGGAACAAAGATGATGAAGATGAGGGCAGTGAACTTGAAGATGTAAACAGTGACGAGCATTAAAGCTTTGGACTATATCTTCCACATCAATGCGTATTTTAATTTTGTTCACTTTGACTGTTTATACGTTAGCTTGAAACGTACCCAAATGATGAACTAATTTTGAGGTGTTGGTTTACTTTCCACTAAATGGGTTAGTTGTAACTCTTTGAAATGTTATCGTATTATGTATTGTTGTTATTACAAGTATGAGTATTACTTTTTTTTGTCAATGAAATTCTTTCATATCACTTAAATAGAGCATGTTGGTGTGAAACATGATATTAGTAACAGTTATAGTAAATGTTAATGTTGGTCAAAATAAACTATTACTGACAGAAAAAAATGTTTTACTCACACAATTTTTTGTGGGTAATCAAACTTTTAGCGACAATTATAATAAACGTTAATGTTGGTAAAAACAAGGTATTACCGACAGAAAAAAGGATTTACCTACTCTCTTTTTTGTCGGTAGTCCATGTTTTAGTGACATATATGTTTTGTCGGTACTGCTATCTTTTTTAGGGACATCTTTGGTCTGTTGCTATCACACTATTTTAGCGACAGTATTTATCTGTCGGTAATACTTTTACTGACGGAGTTTTTAGCGACAGCCTAGCGACAGACAGTTATCTGTCGGTAAAAGCAAGTAGCGACAGATATTCAACCTTTAGCGACATATTGACCCCTGTCGGTATTGCCTCCTTTTTTTTGTAGTGAAATAATGCCTACCCCTGATAGACGAAGTCTTGGCAGGTCCCCACACATCTGAATGCACATAATCCAGAATACCCTTGGTATTATGAATTACAATGCCATACTCCACTCTTCGTTGTTTTCCCCGAACCCAATGCTCACAAAATTCAAGTTTGCAAGCCTTCGAACCGTTCAGCAATCCCTGCTTGGCAAGAATTTTCAAGGATTTTTCTCCAACATGTCCCAATCTCATATGCCACAACTTCGTTGCCTCGACATCCTAGCTACTTGGTGCTAGAAGTTGTCGCCGGTACTGTACCCACCACTGTACTACCTTAGTAGTAATATAGATTATTCTTCCTCATGCCTTTCAACATCACATTGCTCCTGAAGTTTCTTTAAGAGCTCCCTCTCGCATCGTCACAACTAGGCCTTTAGATTCTAAAGCCCAAATGAGATGAGATTCTTCTTGTAACACCCTACATCTCGCAAACCCGGTTCATCGCGGCCCAACGAGCCGGAGAGGTTACGTAGGCAGTTTTAAGGCCGTCTACAAGGAAAACCCTTGCGTTGCTTGTAACGGAAAAAACCCTTGATATATTTTATTAAATGATGAGAATAAATTCAATTAAAGGAAATGTTTCGTAGCGGAAGTAATTGTGAACAGTAAATATTAAGTCTTAAATAAGAAGTACGACAAAGGTGGGTTCAAGCCCAAAATGTTTTTCATAATTAAATAAATAGTTAATTCGGCCCACACTGTCGTTCATCCGCCACCCCGATCACCCAATCATCCGGGTCGGGTTCCATGATCCTCTGGCCTACCTGCGTATAGAAAAGGAAAACAACGCTATACGCCCAACAAAAGCTGAGTGGTAATCTAACAGCAGAATACATAGTACATTCACATTGATATACACATAATCGTACCTGTGCTAAAGTACGAGGAACCACATACAAATTTGTTGAATATAAAGCTACGAATAACAGTGATGCAATGTCAAATATTCATGATGCATGAGTTAGACTGCGTAGGGACCCCCTGCCCTTCGGTTATCAACCCCACACGGAAGATGAGCCAAGGAACACCTTAGTCATCCCGATGGAGACTAGTATGTGGGTGATAGCTAAGCCTAGCTACCATGTACGTACACAAGCCCTCACGATGGGAACCCGCCTGGACGGGCCTGCAGAAGAGGCGCACTGGGCCTGACCTCTTGTCGCGGTATGCAAAGTATGCCATGATTTTAAACATGCGTCTAGGATATACATGATGATATGAATGCATCGCTTTGATGAATGAAGTTCAACACACACATATACGTTTGTTCCCATATGAAATGATCTGTACAAAATGATGGCCTTGGGTTCAGAACTGGATGATTATCGATTATCCATTTCTAATAATCGATTATCGCGCATTGCAGCTTCTGTTCCCAAGTCCTGCACACTGTAATAATCGATTGTCACCTTGTGGCAATCGATTGTCACGCTGTTTGGTTCAGGAAAACTAAGTTCAGAGAGACCTGAAAATCGATTATTGCCTCAGTGATAATCGATTATCAGATGAACCAGCTCCGATTCAGGAATCCGCAGAGGTTGGTAATCGATTATAATCTATGTGATAATCGATTATCACGCTTTGCGGATTCTAACGAGATGTCCAGCGTGGCCTGATAATCGATTGTCTAGTCCTGTAACTCGATTATCATGGCACGTGGCTCCTCATTTTGCCTGATTGGTTATAAACCTTACGTGGAAAGTTTACGGAATGAATGTTTATGTTTTCACAATGATTAAGCTACGGAATTATGGATTATCAAAATGTTTGTATTAACAAATTCATCATTAAAAGGTCTAGATAACATATAACCATGATAATGCAGACACACGTATGTTTAGCCGGGTAATCCTATGAATATAACGTTATGATTTAACTACGAATTCTAAAGTTAGAGGGCAACGTACTCACCTTTAACTCAGTGATTAACAATAACGGAAAACGGATGGACGAATGGTTGATGAACAACGAACGGCTTCTCCCGTCGACCCTCCTTCTCTCCTTCCTCCTCGTCCACTCGCCGGAAACTCCCCCCTTGGCTGCTGTTGTCTTGGCCGAATACAATGGAGAAGATGAGAGAGTGAGAGAGTTATGAGGGTGGTGAATGCTTGGGAGGTTACAAGTTTTGGTGAAGGAGGTGAAGGGAGAAGCGGTTTAAATTGAGGAGAGTAAAGAAGAAATGATGGGGATTTATTATGGAAATGAATGGGTGTGTGAATGTGTGAGTGAGGCGTGTGGATTAAATGGGGAGTTATCTCCCTTTATTTTACTCCGTTGTATAAAATCTTACCTGAACGGTACACATTTTTTCCACCGAACGGTCCAAATTGAGATCCATTTGTGTTTCTGGAATCGGACAGTCAAAACGAATATTATGACGTGTTCAAATAATTTTTCTAAGGATTTTATTTTCCCAACCATGGTTCGAGTTAGTAATTAATTAATTACATTAATCAATTCTAATAGACCGGGTCGCAGGACGTTACATTTATCCACCCCTTAAGAAAATTTCGTCCTCGCAAGTTGGCCTATTACTTAAAAAAATTCATCGAGGGAAGCAATTTCTTATCATGACTTCATATGCAATAACCATTAACAAAAGTTAAGGGTAATTTTTATGGCAAGTTGGCCTATTACTTAAAAAAATCACTCTTTATTCACGGTCATCTTTATGCCACTATCTCCAGTGTGACAAATCGTGAAGGATTTAAAGGTCTCAAGTTGGGACAAATATAATAATGCTTTGGACCACACTTCAAATTTTTTATATAAAAAAGTTTTTTTAGAATTTCTAATTATTTTCCTATTTGATACTCTTATATGATCAAAAACACTCTACTTGGGTATGACAGATATTGAAGATTTTTTTACCACACATGTTTTGAAGTTAGTTATATTATATTTACTCATTTTATATTATTTATTGTTTACATAAATAAATAGTTTATTATTATATTATTCTACTTGTGCATGGCACATGTAAAATCTAGTAATAACAAAAACAAAAATAGGAACAGAGAACTCGCTGAGAAACTTCTCATAAAGCTTTTATTTAGCCACATACGAGTATGTTCAAGAGTAACGGTGACAAGTTGGAACTGAACAACTTCAACCAGAATCGGTTAGGAAATGATATCCAAGATAATCATTGAATAATTTCGCTAGGCCACTTCTTCCTTGTAGGACCTGAGCTGCTTGGGCCATCATGCCACACCATCTCCATCTAACAATAATAAGTCAAAAGTTAAGTACAAATTCTATGGAACTGCACCATAAACTTCTCATCTGCTAACGTAAATTAAGAAAACAAAATTGTGCGGTTGAAATTCATTTTGAAATGAAAGGCATGAAAACAACAACACATTTCGTTCCTTTAAATAAAATGAGAAGCTTATTTTGGGGAAATTAAAAAGGGTGAGAAGCTTATTTTGAGAAAACAAAAACGAAATTAACGTTTATATGAAAGAAAATCACAGATGTGCCCAGTATGTATTCGGAGAAACAAGTGTTGGTGTAAATAGTCTTTAGGCTATGCAATATATACATAGTTGGATACAAAGGAATAGTAAATCATGTATAAAGAAAAAAAAATGAACACACAAATATATAAGTGGAAATAAGAAAGAATATGAAAGGAAAAAAACAATGGTCTTTTTGGAGCTACCATGGCAACCCAAAACAGTCTTTTATAGCTATATGCATGTTACATGTACATCCTTACTGTGTAACTCAAGCAATAAAGCTTACACCATGTATGATTACTACAAGGAGTATCTACAAAAAATGTGTGTGTGTGTGGGGGGGGGTGGGGGTGGACCTAACAAATAGGGTTTAATTCAGGTTAGGCTTCATTTGGTACACGGAATTCAAACTATAGATTTGGAATGGGAGACTAATTCCAATCCTGTTGTTGGAAAGCACAAAAATATGTAGATTTGGAATTTGTAGTGCCAAAAATGAATTGGAATTGGAGAATTCAATTTCATCCAAATCAAATCCATAAAACTCAATTCCAATTCCGTCAATTCCGTGTACCAAACGGACCCTCAGTGTGTCACTGTCCTCTGCCTGTGTTTGTTTGAGGCTGTGAGCCTTACAAAGTAATTCTCTGTAACTATTCTTTAACTAACATAATTCTATAATTCTGCTATCTAAAAGGAAGTTTAGCCCTTTATCGCCATGCTTATACTCAACAAGATGGAGTAATGTCATCAAATAGAAGAAGAAAGATATCACAGGGAGAGGAATAAGTGACTAACTAGAGCCAAATAACATTTAAGAGGAAAAAGGGCAGTTTCCATCATTGCACCAAATGTCCACCAAAAGAATATAGAGTAGAATTTTGGACAAATTTCAATGAAAACAAAAGGAAGACAACATGGATATTAAAAATATCAGAGGTTTTTATTTTGAAGCTCTAGGATTACATGAAAATGAAGAGCTTGAATCTATAGCACATACTAGTAATTCAAAGGGAGAGAGTCCACCTAAAAGGGGCCAAAATTTTATTCATTAAATTGGGTTTGGATTTCAGCACAAAACGAACGAAAGTGAGAAAATAACTTAGAACGAGATTTCATTAAATAGAGCCAAGTCATACATGAATAGTAATCAACAAATGTAACAAAGTACCGGATTCCGTGTTTTGACACAACCGAGCAAGGACCCCAAACGTCAGAATGAACTAACTCAAAAGGAGCACTTGCCCGTTGATTTATCTCTAGGACTCAAACTAACACGATGGTGTTTAGAAAAACGACATGATTCACACTCTAAAACAGAGAGATGTTGAAATTGAGGATAAATTTTCTTTAACAGGGACAAGGATGGATGACCAAGACGATAATGAATCTCAAGAGGTGACTCAATCCTAACACAAGCAGCTGCTTTAGGAACGGAAGTGTTGAGAAGATACAGGCCATTAGTCTCACGTCCTTCACCAATAATCTTCGTGGTAAGGTCCTGAAACACACAATGGTCAGAAAAGAATGTGACAAAGCAATTCAGATCACGAGTAAGTCTAGTAAAGAGACAACAGATTAAATGAGAAATGGGGTAAACTCAAAACAGAAAACAGATGCATATTTGGAGTTGGGATAACCGAGCCTGACCCAAGGACCTTAGATGTAGAACCATCAGCAAGGGTAACAGGGGAATGAGATGTGTAGGGATGAAAAGTGGAGAAGACGCTAGGATTACCTGACATATGATCTGTGGCTCCAGAATCAATAACCCACTTGGAGGAAGACGAGACAAGACAAGCACTATCGTTACCAGAATTCGTAATTGCCGTCATAGGAGGAGATGATCGCTGCAGGAGCTCCTTGAATTGGATGAATTGGGCATACTCATCCGTTGAAGTAGGGGGGGGTTAAAGTTTTCATCAGAGGCAAAGTGTGCAGCTCATCCCCTTTGATTAACACGTTGAAGTTTCCTACCATCACGCTTATAATGTCCCTCTTTGTGACAATAATGAAAGATTGTGGGCTCTTGATTCGGTGGGGTGCCACTACGAATGAATGACTTATATGGTTGCTTTGGTGACTCAGTTTGCATCCTCGGACTTATAAGAGCATTCTGGGGTGCACCGTCTGAAGGCTCTATGGGTTTTACACTTTCACTACGTTGAATCCGTGAGTACCCATCCTGTAGAGTGGGAACCTCAGAGTCTGCAAAGACCCTTTCTCGGGCAGCCTCAACTCTCGGGGCCAAGCCTGCCAAGAAACTCATTGTTGCCATATGCTCTCGCTATTGTTGCTGCGTTTTGACATATGGAGTGAAGGGCACCAATGAATTTAAGGCCACATATGTCTTCTTGAAGTCCATGAAATATGTTTGAAGAGATTGATCTTGCTGGTCTGCCCGATAGAATGCCTTACATGCGTCATAGATACGAGTAAGATTTCCCTTACCTGAATATAGAAATTCCAAACATTCCATCAAGTCTTTAACTGTTTCACAACGGCCAACTAACCCAAGCACATCCCCATCAATTGAGTTGCGGATTTGGAGGAATAGTCGAGCATCATCCCTCAACCAGACTTTCTCAGTAGTTGCATCCTTAGGAGGATCATCAGTCATATGATCGTCTTTGTCAGTACTTCGTAGATATCGTTTAACAGTCGTGACCCATTCAAGATAATTAGAGGAATTAAGTTTCCTCTCTGTGATTTTTGACATGACTGGAAAAACTCCAGTGATGACACTAGACTTATCACCCATTTCAATGGAGGAGAGATTCTCCAGAATTGTTCTCCTGCAACGTGCGACTCCACCCACGGCGGCGGTGACGTCAGGCGAGCACCCTTAGAGACAGCGTCAAAATGGCAGAAGCCTTTTTTTTACAAACAATGAACCGTAACCCTAGAGCACACTGGCTATGATACCATGTGATTGATAATCAGAGGTTTTCCTCATAATACATAATTACATAATACAAAATGACTATATTTACATAAGAAGGGTGCTAATATAAGGAAACTAAATCTCCCATATTAATGCCTAAATCACCCATATTAATGACCAAATCAGATCCTGCCATATTCTCACGACTTAACTAAAATACTAATATTATTACTAATTACAGTATCATTCAAGACAATGAAGAAATAGAGGATGATGTTAACCACATGATTCAAGTCGGTTGGTCAAAACGGCGGAGTGCTTCGGGCTTTATATGTGACAAAAAAGTACCTTTAAAACTAATGAGAAAAATTTACCGTACTGCAATTAGACCATCTATGTTGTATGGAACAAAGTGTTGGGTAGCAAATGGTGAACATGAACACAAGGTTAGTGGAGCCGAAATGAAAATGCTTTGATGGATGAGCGGTCATACACGTATGGATAGAATAAGGAATGGAGATATGAGAGCTAAAGTTGGAGTCACACCTATTGTACAAAAGATAATGGAAACTTGTCTTAGGTGATTTGGACAAGTGGAGAGAAGACCAATAGAGCATCTGGTGAGAAGGGTTGATCAAATGGTGAATAGACATGTGGCTAGAGGAAGAGGTAGACTTAAGAAGACTTGGCACAAACAGGTCAAGGGGGGCCTCAGTGCAAATATGGTACATGATAGGGCACAATGACGTCGTTTGATGTTGTTTTTTTTGGGGGGGGGTGCTGACATTATCACAGAAAATGAGAGAAATTATGTATTGGCTCGCAAGATGTTAAAACAGTAAGACAACATATTTATTTGACTCCTTGCGCAACCCATTTTATTGGCTTGATGCTTGACGATATTGGTAAGCTTCCCTTGATAAAGAAGACGATTTGAAGAGGAATAAGTTTGGTTGAATCTATCCATAGAAATTCTAATACTTGAATTTGTTAGCTATTTAACAAACTCACTACGTCTTCTCTTCCATTAGATAGGCTTCACAGAAAGAGTGAACATCTTAGAAAGATGTATATACCTATGATGAATAGATAAAAAAAGGAAATAAATTGTCTAAAGAGGGTTAAGAGGCTAAGGAAAGAAAACAACAAAAGTATCCCTTGAGACCTCATTTTGGAACAATGCGGCTTTTACCCTCAAAGTGATGGCTCCTCTGGTTAAAGTAGTTGGTCTTGCGGATAGTGTGAAAACAAGCCATTGGAGAAGATTAATAAAGCATTGTTAAAGAAAAAACAATTATAATTTCATTCAAAAGAATCTAGAACAAATATAACGATTAAGACATGTTCTCCGTTTATGATAGGAGGGATTGCAAGCTTCAAAACCCCTTGCATGCAACTGGCTACACTATGAACATGCAGTTGTTCTATGACAACGAAAAACTGATAATAATGGGTTATGGTTACTTTGGCAAGTTGGTGCCCACTAAACTGATGTAACAAAAAACATTGCTGAGTTGAAAATTTATAAAGGTGGTGGTGGTCTCTTTGGTTTGAATTTGCTAAATCACAAATTACGTATGTTCCTAAGAATACAGCTATTATTAAAATTCTAAAGGCATACTCTTTAATTTTGTAGCTTAATCGTGGTGATGTATCATGTATCATCATTCAACTCCAAGGTGGGATACGGAAGAATTCAGCAATGAAGCTGTAGGTGGTTATACCTTTGCATATAGTTTCACATGGGTTCTCAAATGTCACTAGTTTTTCAGTTGTCACGAAGATAGTTGCCCGGGAAAGGTGGAGATGAACAAGAGCCACGTCCAACATAGGAGATGGAATTGGAGAACGCTGAGGGGATGGTGGAGATGGAATTGGGGAATGCTGAGGGGATGGTGGAGAAAACTCTGTCCAGCAGGTCTGAAGAAGAAACAGAGTTTTTGAATGTCGGAGGTAGAATGAGCAACCTACTCAATTTCTCGTAAAACAAGAAAAGGTTGGACTAAATTAAAAGAAAAATGGAAGAAGCGAAATGATTGTGATTGAAATGAAAGAACGCATGCTAGAACTTGGCAATTTCCAAATTTTTTTGCAAGATCGTGAGCTATTTCTCAGCATAAATAGGAGTAGAAGATTCTGAAGTGTTGGTGTGCAAAGAGAAGACAGTTCTTATTTATAGAGGAAAGGTAGCAACATGGTTATCTTGGTAGTTGGTAATTATCTGTTACCCAAGAAAATGGCAATTAAACATTTGGCCAGGGCAACGATCAGTTCAGCTTTTTATCTCCAGGGAGCATGGACATTAACAGGACTCATAAGTAACTATAAGGCCTATGTGATGTGGGCCATGCATGTTCCAGAAGAAGGATGGTTCAGGAAATGGCGATAAAATATTTGGTCCAGACAACGATCAAATCAGCTTTTAATCGTCTCGGAGCATGGACAGTCAGGCACAGGACTGCCAGGAAGGCCTGCTTGATGTGGACCATGCTTGTTTCGGAATAAGGATGGTTTGGTTCTGCATTCAGATCATTCATTAATTTGTATTACGTTTTGTCGATAATTTTCACACCAGAAGAAATTGGGGCAATACTTCAGTGCCAAACTTTATTCTCTAAACTAGTCGATTCATAGCATAAGGATGGGTCGTCAGTCGTCAGCATAGTTATCAAGGCGCCAAGTCGAGGCGCGGAGCTGGGATACCGCGAGGACGCCTAGTCGACTACGCGACTGCCTAGGCGACACATAATATAGGAGAATTGCTATACATTAAAAACACTAATATAAATATATCAAATTATATATTGTAGTTGGTAAAGTTTAAATTTTGGAATAAATCAAAGTTTAACTACCAAAGTTACTTTTAAGTACTTTCCTCAAAAAAACAAAGTTGAAAAAGAGGGTTACCAACTTAAGTTGGTAATAAATTAATGATATAAAATTTAAAAAATTAAGCACCGAGTATTAATTAGAAAGATAAAGTAGAAAAAAACATTAACTTGCAAATAAAGAAATTTATAAAGCATTAAAAAACAAAGCACTGCAGGGTATAAAACACTTAAAAAAATAAAGCACTGGAGTAAAAAAACAAAAGTACTAGACTAGGCGAGCCAAAGCGAGGCTAAGGCGATGCCTAGGCAAGGAAAGGAGACGCTAGGGCGACGACTAGGAGAGGAAAGGCAAGTCCAAGGTGACGCCTAGGCGAGGTATGCAAAATAAGGCGGGGCGAGCTCTCATGGCAAGAGTAGAAGGGCGCCTGTACGCCTAGGCGACGCTGTGATAACTATAGTCGTCACAGCCCATTACAAAGTGTATACCTTGGGCCATGTAGAGCTAGTGTTTTGCCCAAGTGATATATGGATGTTGCAGCGTCTTGTGTCCAAAGAAGTGTTGGTGACTGCAGTGTCTTGTGCCCCAAGAAAACTTGTAACTTTGAGTTTCTTGTTGTATTTGAGGTTTTGCACATGCTATTTGGCAATTGCAATATGTACATTATTAAAAGGAAGGACAGAATGAGGTTCATTTGAAAAAGGTTTCCTAGTGGTGTATGCTGAATCAATATGCTACAGACTCGAATATTGATTTGGGATACTTGCATTGTAAGAGACATTATGCAGTAAAACTCCATATTCTTTCCGTCCTTCAGCTTTCCTCTTATTTCAGTGTACTAAGTCTGTGTAAATGTTTGATGTATAATATATGAAACACATGCAGGACTATGGAAAAATAAGTGCAAAACAAGATGAAAGAATAAAGAAACATAAAATAATCTTACGTCCCCGATAATGACAGTGTCACCCTCCTTTACGTCAAGTTTCATGAGAGCTTTATTCACACCACATGCCTCTAGAACATGTTGAAATCTTCTCTCGGAGTCAATATATCTGTTCCCAATTAAAACAAAAAAAAATAAGCAACGAAAATCAACTGTAAAACATGCTTTTAAACTAATAAGATCTAAATACATCCCCAAGAAATGTTTCTTGCATATATATATAAGTGTGTGCACAGGACTATAAATAGGTCTACCAGTTCTCACAAGAAACTTGAATGTTGAGAAAAAATAGTGCATGAAATGGGTGAACTAAAAGAAGATTAAAGAGAAGCAACTTCCTTACCTCCAGTTTGTCATTTGAACAAAACGCTCCAGGCCTGATCCTACAACATACCATGTACCGGAAGCATCACATGATATCTGGAATTCACTTATTGGGGAATTTCTCTCCCTTTGTAATGTATGAGCGAAATAGTTCAAATTCTCAGGGCCTACTGCATCTGAAACAATATAGAATTTCAGCAAGCCAATGTGATGAAACGGACCAAACAATAACCATGTTGTATTATCTCTTCTTATTTCTTTATTTCTTTAAAGAAATTAAGAAAATGACATGCACGTGTTAACACTTCCTCTGTTCCAAAAGAATCTCACCATTAGAATTTTCAGGGTAGCCAATGCACAAATTGAATAATTAGTATTGAAATTTTAGTAAAAATTATAAGAACTGATTTTATGGAAATTTTTATCCAGACGGATCTAACAAGATCCCAAATGACTATAATTTTACTAACGCATACATCACAAAAGAGGGTCAAATGAGGGTATGTGAACAATGTAATTTTTTTACCATTGCAATTATTTTGAAACGATGAAAGTATAATACTACAGCAATGGCAGAGTGCTAAAATGATTGGTAAAAGGCAATCAATTATAAAAAATATGATATAATAGAAGTTTTTATCGAGATGAATCTAACAAGATCCCACATGACTATATTGTTATTTGTTACTTACGTATAGGTCACAAAAAGTCAAATGAGGGAGTGTGAATACTGTACTTTTTTTAAACGGAAGAAGTATTATATTATAACAATGGCAGAGTGCAAAAACGATTCGTAAAAGGTAAAATGACTGGAAGAAATCAGAAAATTACACTTTTGCACATCAGGGACTATGGTTGTAGACTTGTAGAGTACTTTTATTTAAGAGCGGAGGAAGTATGTGTTTATTATACAAAAAATTGCCTTGTCTATGAGATCTTTTTATGTGACGTGTGAACTTTCAACATTGTCCAAAATACATTTTTGACAAAATTTTACGGGAAAGGATTGTAGCTGTGTGGGCATGTTAATATGAGAATTAAATGTGAATTAACTAACAAAGTTTAAAATGATTTGACACCCTTCATAATCATCTTGTTGTGAACAAAATTGGAGTACAAAATTTTTTATTCACCAACTAAAAAGAAATAAATTAATCCAAGTCGTGTTGAGATTGGATTTTCATCCACAACAACTTTGTCTGTGGAATGTTGGTGACTTGGATGAGACGCGTTAGAGGATTTTTAGAATTTGGAGTACTCTTACTTGATGAGCCAGAATGGGAGAGTGAAATGATCTTTGAGTGTGATGACAAGGATTAATGCCATTAATTATTATTTCTTTGAAGGAAGAAGCATTTCCTTAATTCACTAAAAGATGAGCAACAAAGTCAGGAGAACAAGCCTCCCACACACCACAATGAGTCTTAACTCTACAAGCAAGTGTGTGAGCAACAACATTACTCTCATGACAATCAAAGGAGAAGGAAACCAAATCAAAATAAGACACAAGACCTAAGCTTAAACATAAGAGTTTGTCTATATTTGCAATCATTTCGAAGCTTGAAATATGATGGTTTTAATAGTGTTTGGGTCATATACCTGTGGATTGTTACTTGCTTATTAATTTCAAATGCTTTACATTTATGTTGATATTTTATTGGTGCGTGGGTTTGGTTAACCAAACTCTTCAATTTTATCTTTTGGACAGCAAGGTGCCTGATGAGTGGAGGGAGAGTCTCTTGGTCCCCTTGTTTAAAGGTAAAGGTGACATTCAGAGCTGCGAGAATTACAGAGGCATCAAACTGCTTAGCCACACCATGAAGGTTTGGGAGCGAGTCATTGAGTATAGGGTGCGGAAAGGGGTATGCATCTCTGAGAACCAGTTTGGTTTCATGCCTGGCAGATCGACTACAGAGGCCATTCACCTCGTGAGGAGGTTAATGGAAGAGTATAGGGCTAGGAAGAAGGACCTCCATATGGTGTTTATTGATCTTGAGAAGGCGTACGATAGGGTGCCAAGGGAGGTCTTATGGAGGTGCCTTGAGACGAGAAGAGTTCCCATCGCGTACACTCGCGCGATCAAGGATATGTACGATGGGGCTATGACTAGGGTAAGGACCTCCGGGGGCGACTCTCAGTCATTCTCGGTAGGGATAGGGTTGCACTAGGGGTCTGCCCTTAGCCCTTTTTTGTTCGCCTTGGTGATGGACGTCCTAACTCATGGTGTTCAAGAAGGGGTCCCATGGTGCATGCTTTTCGCGGATGATATTGTGCTTATCGACGACACACGTGAGGGACTAAACGATAAGTTGGAACGATGGCGCCTTGCCCTTGAGACTAAAGGATTCAGAATAAGTAGGAACAAGACTGAATACATGGAATGTCGTTTCAACGGCCGGGAAACAGAATCAGAAGTGGAAGTTAGGATTGACTCTCACGTAGTACCTAAGGTAGACAGGTTCCGATATCTTGGCTCGGTAATCCAGGCGGATGGGGAGTTAGACGGGGATGTTGGACATCGTGTTGGAGTGGCTTGGGCCAAATGGCGGTTGGCCTCAGGGGTGTTGTGTGACCCGAAGATTTTGCCCATGATGAAAGGTAAATTCTACCGATCCGATCCGTAGTCAGACCTGCTATGTTATACGGGGCAGAGTGTTGGCCGGTTAAGGAGACTCATGTGCGTCGTCTACATGCGGCGGAGATGCGGATGTTACGATGGATGTGTGGGAAGACAAGGTTGGATAGGATTTCGAACGAAGTTATCCGACGTCAGGTAGGCATGGCGCCGGTGGAAGATAAGTTGCGGGAAGCGAGGTTGAGATGGTTTGGGCATGTGAGACGGCGGGATGCTGATGCCCCTGTGCGGAAGTGCGAGAGGATCACAGTTATCGGGGGAAGTAAGGGAAGGGGTAGACCTAGGAAGAATTGGAAGGAGGTGATTAGGTAGGATTTAGGACTTCTCACCCTGAGGATATGACCTTAGATAGGAACCTTTGGAGGACTAGGATTAAAGTAGCTGGTTAGGAGCTCGGTGCTGCAGAGGTTTTTTGTAGTGTGTTGTGTTTGATTGGAATCTTCTACTTTTGCTTGCTGGACTTTCATTTCATTGTACTTGGTGCTCTATCCTGTTATATCCTGTTATATCCTGTTATATTGTATTCCCTACCATATTTTTTGTGCAGGTTGAGCCGGGGGTCTCTTGGAAACAGCCTCCCTACTTTCGAGTAGGGGCAAGGTCTGCATACACACACCCTCCCCAGACCCTACTGTAGTGGGATTCAACTGGGTTGTTGTTGTTGTTGTATTTTATTGTTTAATTACATGTCTTTTGTCGTATCCTTTCAGTACGCGCACCATGTAGTTTTTTTAAGTGCAAATTTCCTTCCTCGTTCTTGTATATGCTCCCACTCCTGTTCCAATGCAACTTAGAGTGAAACTATCACACCAAGATGTAACTCAATCAATTGAGTAAAAATTGAACACTGAGAGACCAACACACAAAACCAAGTAATGATAACTACAACCAGAAATTAAAATGAACTTACAATCTTTATCAGCACATTTCCTCCTACGAACCAGCTCATATGCAGCACATATCACTTCATGTGTACCCTCTTTCTTCACTGCACTCATGGATAATGGTTCAATGCCGCGGCTTTGTAGGCTATCCCTAAAGGATAGCCAATTTTCAGATGCTTCTGGAAGATCCATTTTGTTGTACACGACTATATAATGCTTCTGAACAAGTTCAGGGCTAAACATTTCCAACTCAAGGCGCACTGCATCGAACTCATATACTGGTTGCTGAGATGACCCATCAACAACATGCACCTATTTCCCAAAAATAATAGTTTCGCAGTGAATTAAATAAGAAAACTTTTAAGAATTCAAAGTAAGAAAGCATAAATAGAAGGCATTAGCCAATTTCAGAGAGCTGGAGACTTAAGAGTGTGGTAATATGAATATATTGAAGGGCGAGTACAGTCACACAGACTGTGCTTAAGGGTAATGTTTATTATGCCTAAGCATTGCAAGAGACAGAAACAACTGCATCCAATCATTAGAATGTAGAACACTCTTCAGCAATAGCAACAACAAAAACAAAAACAACCAGTATAATTCCAAATCTATTGGGGTGTGTGTGGTCAAGATGTACGTAGTCTTACCCCTGGAAAACTATATGGTTTTTTCCGTTAGATCTTGGATGCATTGTTGCATTTACTTCCCAACACTCCATAGAAAGTAAGAAGCAAGGGAAGTTTAATTTGCCATTTTTTATTTAGTCCATTATGTGCCAAAACTAAAACATTGTCAACAATGACTTGTTTAGCTCCATTGGCAATGGCCAAATATAGCATACTCTTCTTGCTGATTAAAAAATTTCCCAATGATATGACACTATAGTGCTCGTTATTTTTTAAAACTATTGATAAAAGATAAAGCAATTTCACCAATGAACCAACTATAATGTCCAGACTTTAAAAGTATACCAGAACAGAACATCTTTCAGAGTGCCTAAGAAATTCATGACCCAAACCAAAACCTCGATGTGCCCCTTCAAGTAAACCAGGTAAATCAGCAACAACCATTGTAGAATCATAATCAAATGAGACCACTCCTAAATTCGGGAGCAAAGTGGTGAACGGGTAATTTGCAATAGTCGGCTGAGCGGCACTAATGACGCTGAGAAAGGTACTTTTCCCTGCATTTGGAGCTCCAATAATTCCAACATCCGCGACTAACTTAAGCTCCAACTCTAACCACCTGGTAAAAAAGAGACTTTTATCTACCAAAAAACACAAGAACCAAGAACCATCAATGAAAAAGATAAATCTAGAATTGAGTTGTGTAAACAGTAGAATTCTTTAGGACAGCAAACAAAAACTTTTTATAATTTTATTTTAGGTTCTACATTCAGCTGAAATGATAGATGGGCCTTCCATATTCTTATTGGGAAAAGAAATGCAACAATCACCAATATGAGCAACGTTATTATTCAGAACTGTTAAGAACAATTACCATTATTCTGATTATTCTTGCACAGTAGAAGAAAAATTAGGATCAGAGAAAGATGCTCACATCTCTTGACCTTCTTCTCCATTCTCTGCGATCTTGGGAACCTTATTCATCCCTGATTTAAAAGATGCATTCCCCCTCCCACCTCTCCCACCGAGGAGTAACAGTGCTCTCTGACCTGGATTCAACAACTCAAGAAGCACAGCTCCTTGCTCTCCACCACTACCGGCCTCCCTAACAACCGTCCCTGGCGGCACCTTCACCACAACATCCTCACCTTTGGCACCACATTGCTTTTTTCCCTGGCCATGGCCTCCCCTACCAGCTCTAAAATGTACACTCTGCCTAAAAGGCAGTAGTGAATTCATTGAACAATCTACCTCCACATACACATTCCCTCCCCTCCCTCCATCCCCTCCTGCCGGCCCTCCCAATGGCACATACTTCTCTCTCCGAAATGCCACTATCCCATTCCCTCCATTCCCAGCTTTCACATATATCTTCGCCCTATCAAAACACCTCATCACGGCCGGCACTCCTTTTTCCTTTTCCATCAATTCAACCCCCTCCCCTTCAAACACATCACCCCCAAAATGTAACTCCCGGTCATCTGGATCATCCTTGTCCTCCTTTTCATCAAAATCGTTTTCAGAATTAACCTCATACAATTCAAATTTTCCATAATCAAATTTTAAATTCTCCTCGGTTTCATCAATTTCTGAGAGTTCAGTATCATCTAAATCCATCTCGGATTGGAACTCCTTCTCTTGCAATGGAATGTTGAGCTCGAATAACTTAATTTCTTGTGAATCATGGAGAGTCGTCGCACAGAAGTCTTCTTTGGGAGGCAGTCGAGTGTAGGTAGTAGCTGTGTCACCAGAAGTGGTGGAGAACGATGTTGGAGGCGTGAATTCACCGGACTTGAGCTTGGGGTGGTTGGATTTTCTTCTATGGATGTTGGTTAACCGTCTTTTAGGGTTACCCCTGCTTCGATCAGGTGGTCGGGCTTCGCAGCGCAGACCGAAGTAGGACAGAAAATTAGCAGATGCAGATGCACCCGCCATGTTAAGCACACCCCGTTGAAGGAGAGATATAGGGAAACTTGGCAACGAAATGTACGGTGTAGCCTGTAGGCTGCCGTCTGCAACTACAAGCATTAATGTAGGGAATAGGAAATTTGTTAAAATAGGATAAATTGTGGAAAAAACTAAGGTGTATTTAATTTAGATTTTACAAGATTTTGATAGATTATTTAGAATCCATAGATTCTGTAAGTTTATTGGATTGTTTTAAGTTTACGCAGAGTTAGCTAGATTCTAATGTATTTTATGAAAGGATTTTATAGAATTATATTTCACTTTTCTTTTATTCTTTTTTTCTTCTTTTCTTTTTTCTTTTTCTTTTTCTTTTTCTTTTCTTTTTTTCCTCCTCCTCCCATGAACCCTAGCCCCTTCTTCTGCCATCTCCGTTTTTTCAATTTTTTCTTTTCTTTTTTCTTTTTCTTTTATTTTCTTTTTTCCCTTCTTCCTCCCTAGAAACCCTAGCCCCTTTTTCCGCCATCTCCGTTCTTTCTATTTTTTCTTTCCTTTTTTTTCTTTTCTTTTCGTTTTTCCCTTCTTCCTCCCCAGAAACCCTAGCCCCTCTCTCTTCTTCGATCTTCGTCCTTTCCTCTGCCTAATTCGAGGGTCGCCGTCATCGTGGCTCCACGTCGAGTCGCCGCCATCGTGATGGAGATTGGGCGAGATGGGGGCACAGAACAACCCTGCGTGGAAGAGTCGCCGCCATCGGAAGTTGTAACACCCTAATCCGTCCAGGTCTGCAGCCCCTTTCGAACTAAAGTATTAACTTGGTAATCGTAAAATTTTAAACATTTCAAAATACTTTTATTTATCATAAATATTATTTAATACATAACTGTAGCAAAATACGGAGTGTTTAACAATAGTGCGAAAGCAATTTAAACCATGTTTAATAACAACACAATTATTTATTTTAAAATCACAAATTCCACCACGATAGTCTCGCCCCTTCTGCTGCCAGGAACATGCCAATCAATCATTCTGCCTACCTGCGTGTAGCAAATAAAACACATTACACGCTCAGCGGTGAAGCTGAGTAAGCATATCTAAGCGTCGAACATCCACATAAATTGAATCTCAATTCATAATCAACCATTGGATATCATGCACAATATATAATTCAAACATTCATGATATTCTCAATATTTTATTCCAAGTCATTTGATATTCAATATCTCAACAATGCTCTCAAATTATTCTTAATCTAAGGCCAAATCATTTTATAACAATTCTTAACTATTCCTAGTCTAAGGCAACATTTCTAACCAGGCCCTTAAACTATAAATAGTTTAATGCAGAACACAAGAATCAATAATCCACCCTATGAGTCATGTGGATTACGTACCAACCGAACAGTGAACTGCCGGGTGGGTGATATCCGTTCTGGATCCCGTACGTACGTTTTAACCCCGAAATATGAATTGGTCAAGGAGGTATATCTTAGAGTTCTTCTAGATATCCTTAATAATCATCATCATTATACAAGTGGGTATATCTTAGAGTTCTTCTAGATATCCTTAACAATATACATCATTTTCATAATCATCATTATATCCATTTTTAATCATGATTTAATCAATAATCATACTAATCAGTAGGTTAATCATTCATAATTGGCCACAATAATAGTTCATCATAATGATCATTCAACATAACATTTAATAACAATTAGCGGCCTAGTCTCGCGTGTTAACACCCGAACTTACCGTCATGCATCACATAATGTTTTAATTTGTTAAAAACATCATTTTTGTTGTGAAAAATCATTTTTATAATAATCATAATTAATTGGTATCAAAAATAGGATTTTAGAGCTCAAAAATAGCAATTTCAGACAAATTTTCAGACCAGAGTTTCGGGGGATCGATCCAGCCCTCTGGATCGATCCAACTAGAAGAAAAACTCCTAGAGGATCGATCCAATGAAGGGGATCGATCCATTCTGTGGATTTTCAGCCACTGTTCATTCATCTTCAACCTCGGTCCATTTTTCAGGAAAACCATTTTTAGTCACCGAACTTCAATTAAACTATATAGAGATGTTCTCCAAGGTTCATAGATCATATTAGAATTATTAAAACATATTTTTAACATTAAATTCAAGGTTTATGATTCTTGGTACTTCAAACATGTCAAACACAAAACTCAACCAAATGACCATTTATGAACGTAGAAACGACCTATATGAACATTCTAGTCATTAGATCTATCTAGGGGCTTACCTCAAAGCGTAAGGGAGGTTTTGACGATTTTCCGGCGACTCTATCTCACTGTTCCGGCGACCTCCCACAAAGATGACAGCACCACTGCACTCTACTCTCAGCAAGGAACAATATAGAAGGAAGAATGAGTTGTTTTGGTGATGAAATGAGGGAGTTGGGTTGTCCTTAAATAACCAAGTGAGGAAGGAAGAAGACATGGGTTGCAGCTTCCGTGATTGAGCGACGATTTGGAATCGGCGTAATTGAACAGGGCGCCGTTTGGTGTGTAGTCCCTGATTGGGACTAATTTTGGTCCCAGTTGGGGTACACTTTTTGTTCCAACTTTCTCCAAATTGAAATCCGATTGAACCGTTGGGGTCAGACAGTCAAACTCTACATAATGATACAATTTTCATTATTTATTGACAAACTTTAGAATTTACTTATTTTTGGGTCCTTCTCAGTAATTAATTAATTATAAATTAATTAACTCTGATAGGCCTATTTTTGGGGCGTTACAGAAGTATTCAATGAAGGATTCTGAGTCGCCGCCATTGGAAGTATTCCACGTCGAGTCGCCGCCATCGGAAATATTCAATGAAGGATTCGCCGGGGAAGATTGGGGGCGAGATGGTGAAGGAGACGACCCCCTGCGTGGATTTGCAAAATCTTTGCATTTTTTGTGAGATTTTGGACTAAGATTTTAATTTATACCTAAAGCCTCAAATCCATCAAAATCCATATATTATAGAAATCTTTTAAAATCAATTGATTTTTGAATACCATTATATTTAGAAGGATATATTAAAATCTAAACTGAATACTTCCAGATTTTAAATGACTTTTTAAAATCGGGATTGAATACCCATAGACTTTTGAAATCCAAAAAAATACTACAGAATTCATATTGAAAATATACTAAAATATAAGTTTTACTCCCTTCGTCCCGAATTAAATTATGGAAAAAATCTAAATAAAACTAAAAATAGAAAATATACTTAAATTAGAGTCTAAAACATAAATTCCCCGAATAAGAATAACTTTGCATTGGCATCCCCAAAATGCTCCTCGACATCTGCACTGACACCTAATTTTTTTCTCATTAATCGCGTTACATGTTCACAAGACCAGTAATACATGGACCACATGTTCACATGTCACAGATTTGAATTTTCACAGAACTGAATCCCACATGTCCACAAGAAAGCGGGGAGGGAAAAATTGGCGAAGGAAGAAAGAAGGTGACGGGAGGAGTCCTATATTTAAAAAACATGGAGTCAACATATGGTTTTCTCGTCCAAAGAGTATGACAATTACAAATGACAATTGTGAAGATAAAATGGTAAGTGGCTGAAATTATAGTAATAATTATTATAATCATTATATTTATAATAATTAAAGAAAGGTAAGTTAAAATGGCCGAAAGGTAAGTTAATTATTGTGAAGTTAAAATTAATATTACTTTTTACACACAATACCTTTAAAAACGTGATATTATTAATCTAAAAAATAATTATTATTATTAATCTAAAAAATGGTTTAAAAGCTATAATAAATACAGTTCCTATTTTATCACACGGTATTGACCAATTTCCTTTTTAAAACGAACAGTTTTAACACGTAATCATTCTAAAAAAAGAACAACGATAATATTACACAATTTATAATTGGTAATTAATATTAACTGAACATATTTTTTTAATCGAGGTAATTCTAAATCCTAAATAATAATGATGCCACGGAATATTACACAAAAGGAAATATAATTTTTAAAAAAGGAATATTACTTTTAAAACGCAATGCTTTCAATTCGTATGGAGTGTACTAATTATTTTGGGTATAAATAAGTATTTTGAACCTTTTTTTTTGTGTAAGTGTGAAATTAATATAGCTATTATTTTTATAATAATTAACATGAGTAATATAAAATGGTAAGCATGACTGCATGAGTAGTATAAAATGGTAAACGTGAGTTTTCCTTTTTTAATAATTAACGTATCAAAAAGGTAAGTTATACAATTCCAAAGCGTAAGTTTTTAATAAAGGTAAGTTATACAATTGCAAAGCGCAAGTTTTTGAAAATTGGAAATAATTAAAAAAGGTAAGTTATACAATTAAACTCCCAATTTCGAAAAAAAAATAATTATGGTAAGAGTATTAAAAACCGAATTCATTTTATTAAAAAAATATTATTTCCGGATTTATGTTAATTAGTAACTAATTAATATTCAAGGCATTATTTTAGTAAGATAATTTTAATTATGGAATGGTATTAATTAAATGCATCCAGTATTACAGAAAGTAAATATTTTCATATTGATAGGCGTGTCGTAGCACCTACAAATTAATTAATTATTTTCCTTAACTCTTAACCCCCTTTATGAATTAATATTCATTAAAACATATAGATAGGGCAAGTAAGGGTCGATCCCACGAGGAAAGATACTCTTTTAGCTATGAAAATCAGTTCACTTGTCACATTTATTGAATAAAAACTAACTAAAACTAAATAACTAAAACTAAAAGATATGGGGGGTTTGAATGATGATTCTAAAAAGATAAAAATGCAAATAAAATAAAGATAAAGGATAACAGATACGAGACGGAACCACAACAGCAAGCCAAACTCAGAAGTCACTCAGGGAGAAAACAAACACACAAAAACAATCACACATTAAGCTTTATAAAAACGTAGACAATAATAATTAACTTAAACAATTTTGAAAATACTTATAGTTTTTAATAGAAAATAAACTGAACAAATCTGATTAACTAATTAATTATGTCTTGATTCTGAAATTAAACTGCTAATTAAACTCAGGGTTAGGCTGAAGAAGAGGTCCACCAACGGTTCTTCCCTATTTTCCCATTCACATTAGCTTATGTTAAGACCAACCCTAACTCTAAACCCTACTACCCTTAGCAACCCAAAGACCAACCCTTAAGTTACTACTAAGAATAGCGC